ATTACAAATTGTGTACACAATAATACAATCCCCTATACTATATTTTACGTTTTGCACTGTGGTATTGTTTAACTTTAATGTTATGAAACAAATACAATTAATATAGTAATAATGCTGTCTTTTGATATTATTATAGGTGGTGGATTTTATGAATATAAAGTTCTTTATGGAATGTACTAGAGAAAATATTCATTAATATTATTCATTAATTATTTTGTGTATTTTCAGGGAAAAGGAAAATACAAGGAGATAGCAATAGATCTGCAAGAAATACAGCAATTGCAGAATACTTCACAGTTAAAAAAAAAGTTGATAGAGGAGAAATTAACCAATAGTATAATAGCAAATGAAAAATTAAAATTAGAATATGAAAAAGTAAAAGCAGAATTAGAAAATAACAGATTACAAACTGAATATTACAAATTAGAAAATGAAAAATTAAAATTATAAATTGTTAATTTAAAGAAATAGGACTTAAACATTAGTTGTAATTAATTAATTTCACAATATCTTTTTAATTTTTATTGTAATTAATGTACTCTTTTTAAATAATTAGGAACTTTGTAAGATATATGTTTAACTGGCATAGTGCATAGCTATTTGAGGGCGCAGGAATGTTATATTGATAATTAAGGCCTTATGATCGATCATATCCGCGTTGCGGTTTCTGAGAACGTGGTTTAAGAGTAACAGTTTTTTTATAAGAAGATTGAATATGGACTGTTTAAGGGGGAAGCCTGCTTTAGAGGCTTCAAAAATCGATTTTTTTTTTGCTTAAATGTCTTCCCAAACTATCCAAGAATATATCCTAAAATTTTAGAAACAAATTCAAATTATTTCCGAAGTTACAGAAGAAATAGTGAGCAAGCGTCGAGCAGGTATACGAGCGGCCGGATCGCTCGGAGTGCCTGCGCTCAGTCCCTAAATCTATTGTATGTATTGTACCCATTGTAACTATTGTATGTATCCAAAGGGACTAAGTTTTTCGAGACACCATAAACTATTTGTCGAAGGTCATTATGGAGCTATGGTTGGGATAAAAGTGTATGTATTATAACGGTATATATTAGCTGGCTGTGTCGGCTTGAGCACAAGAATATTTAGCATTTAAGTTCAGTTTTAATTTGTTTTTCGGCACGTCTTAAAATCATGCAGAATTATCCAAAAGGACAGAAATCTTCAAGTGAACGGGCTGGAAAGCCACAAAATCTCAGATTCCGTGGCAATCAGTTTCATAATGTTTCGTCATCGGACAATGGAGAAGCTAACACTAGCCGTAGTGAAAGAAAATTGGAGTCAGCAACTACGGACGATGTTATAATTTATCTGTCTCATTGCTATCGAATAATCGAGTTGTCTCTGTTTTTAGCAATTTCTGAGCTAGTTATTTGCAATTCGTGTAAGCAGAGAATAACGTTTGCCGAAAGCGCCATCGAGGTTTTAAAATCGTTTTGTTGTGTATCCTTCTCCTCCTATTAAATATAATTTAAAATTACTTTTAATAGGAGACGGGAAACTATCTCATTTTGAAAATAAAATTTAAATTGATCGCGATTTAACAGAAAGATTGACTTGCATGTTATATATAATATAATATATATTATATTATACATGACAATAATTATTAGTAAAATAATATATACCTATTTTAATATGACAGTACGATATACCTAAATAATAAATTTACAATAAAATCGTGATTTAGGCTGCACTGCCAGCTAAAATTCTTCTACGTACAGTTTCGCTGACGACGCAGCTCTTTTCTATTAAATAATATTTTAAATAATTATATAAACTGGCCTTAATCGCGGAGCTGCCAATGGTGTAGATATATAAGCAATAAATATATTATAATAAAATTATATTTTTTTAAAAGTCCTCAGCTGTTATTAGCATCAAGGATTTAATATCGAAAGATTATCCTGATATAATAGAAAATAAAGATTATTAATGGGTGGATGTGTCAAATGGAAGTAATGGCGACGAGAAACAGTAGCGTTGATGAAAATAACGATGATTTTAATTAACCTTCCAGGATGTATAATTACTTACACATCTATTTATGATGTAACGAATAAAGAACACGCGGTCCATTACCCACAGGAGTTAATTCTTTAAACCAGTGTAGCCTGCCACCACATTCCCCCAAATCAAAAATAGGTGCTCCAATAATTTTACTTAGAAATCTTAAACCACTAATTTATTAACGGGACCCGATATCAAACAAAATTTCTTTGTAATAACGTGATCGTTGCAATAGTTTTGACTGGTCCAGCAATTGGTCAAACAGTGCTTATACCTCGCATCCCAATGATCCCAAATAATTTACCTTTTAATTTTAAAATAATTAAATTTCCCATTAAGTTATCTTTTTCCGTAACAATTAATAAAACACAGGGGCAAACAATTAAACACGTAGGAATCGACTTCCGACAACACTGCTTTTCACACGGCCAACTATATGTCGCCTTGTCCGATCTTGACATCTTGGTTGCGGAGAGAAGCGGTTTGTTCTTCTGCCACAAGAAAACGAAACTAAAAATATAATTTACGTAGAAGTACTTTAAACCATATTCTTTCCTCTTAAAACCTCTTAATCATAATCATAACAGAAATTGACGCGGACGAAGTCGCAGACAATCAAAAGATAATTTCTTTTGTGTCTTAGTTCCAAAGCATTTATCAAGCAAATTTATCGAGTAATATAAAAAATATATGGTACCATTTCAGGCAGAATGTATATCACCATCTTATCCTAAAGCATTTTAGATTATGTTCAACCATCAACATCAAATATTAAAAGGATCCTTGGAATCTTATCTTATCTTGAAAATACATTATACAAAATAAGTATAATAAAAGAAAAATTTGGGAAATTATAAGAGTAAGAAAGATGTTGAAAAGCCACAAAATTAAAATATAATAAAAAAATATCAGAAGACGAGAATTTCAAAAGAAAGATTAGTAATTTACATATCTCTAATTCTTTTTGACATTATTACAAAGCCAATTAAAATGTTATCCAAAATGATCAAAAGAACGACGTTCTTCAATTGAACAAAAGATAATGGCATTAGCTATTTACAAAAAATCATCAGCCTGTTATAGGCTATTGAGATAAATGTTAGTTTTAGTCTGCCAAACTTAAAAACTATTAAATAAAGTACCATTAAAACCAGGCCTAAATAAACATATATTAGAATCTTTGAAGAAGTTAGTAAAAAAACAAACAATTCATGAAAACTTCTGAGTACAGTCATTTGCTGAGATGAGTATAAGAAAGCACTTATTTTATGATAGCAAAAATGATATTATGTATATAGGGCCATCAAGACCATGCCAACCATGGTAGAAATAATGCAACTGCCAATAAAGCCCTCGTTTCTAAAGTCGTATTTTTAATTATATGAAGCAAACTGACAGTAGCTAATGACACTTTGTAAAATAATGTTGCCATATTTAGAGTAATAGTGATGCGTTCAATTCTCGTATAATCAGATGAATAAACAAAGAGTGTGAATAGTTAATCATTTCAAACTACAAAAGGATATTATTTCTATTTTACAATAAAATTGTATAAAAGTGCTCTGATATAAGTTACTAGTAGTATGTAACTAGAACAAGTTATTTGACGGCTTATTAATAAAGCGCGGTTCACGTCGCGGGTGGTGCCAACACCGATCAACGCCGCGCGCGTCGAATGTCAATTTGTTTGTAATTCCGCTTCTAACCTCTGAAAAAGAATGTGTCACGAAAACAGCTGACATTTTGGAAATTGGTGTGACCGCAGTTTACAGTGCATTAAAAGAATACAAAGAAAATGAATAATTCAATTCTCATAAGAAACGTGGACCGAACCACAGTTTCAAAGATAAATTAGACGATTTTACTTTTGCTGCTATAAGGCGAAAAGTAGTTTTTTTTATGCAAATTAGCCACCCACCATTGTAAAGATAACTTTAAACTTTATATCTTCTACTGAATTATATTCTGTGTCCACCATATTGTTCTTTGTAAAACAAAAGTATTGTATCCTTACCCAATTTTTTTACTTATTATAATACTTTACAGATTCTTAATGTTGTCAATGAAGACCCAGACTTACACAAGTTTTCTTGGAATACATAAAAACACATTGAAATTTCAAATATGTGGCTTAAAACCGCTTTCAGTAAAAGGCAAACGATTAATTATGGGCCATATAGGCGGATAAGAAGGATTCGTAGACGACAGCTTATTAATATTTGAAGTAAAAAAAAATAAAGAAGATCAAGAGATGAATGTCGATTCCTTTGAGAAGTGGTTTAAGGGGGTCCTAGAGTTGCAGGAGTTTACAGGTTTTAATTCAAGAACGTGGTTCCAGCAAGATGGGGCCACTTGCCATACCTCAAATGACTCAATGGAAATTGTTAATGAATTATTCCCCAAGAAAGTCATTTCGAGAAGGGGTAAGATCAACTGGCCTCCCAGAAGCCCCGATCTTAGCCCACTTGACTATTTTGCATGGGGATAAAAGGATTAAAAGTAAGGTTTATAAAAATAATCCGACGAATCTAACCCAGTTGAAGCAAAACATCAGGTCAGAAATGGCAGCAATATCGATAGCTATGTGTCAACGTGTTATCGCTAATCTTCGGTCCCGTTTAGAAGAGTGCCAGCAACGTAACGGTCATCATTTGGATAACATTATCTTTTCTAAATAAATCTCCAATCCATATGCTAATAATAAATAATAAACTTTTTTATTGCATACAAATATCTTTTGTTTTATTGAACCTACAAATACCCGATACCCTTTCTGGACACCTTGTATTTACTGCCATGGTACTGGTTATACGACCAAATTCAGTTGCTAAACCACCATTTCAGGCAGAATGTATGTACAGGGTGTCCGGTGGCAGAATTAGGATTTGAATTTCGAATATTTCCGTAACCGTTGAGCGGAGGAGCGGGGAGGGGGCCGCGTTGGCTTCGTCATCCGTGCGGGTTATTTAGTCGCGATGTCGCAGTGGACAGGTGAACAACGTGCTTTCGCAATCGAAGCGTATTTCAAAGCCAATGATTCATGTGCAATTGCTCGTCGAAGATTTTGTTCACGGTACAATATTCGACGGTTACTAGACGCCCCAAGTGAAGATTTGATTCGATTATGGGTGCGAAGGTTCCGGGCAACAAGTTCAGCAGAAAACAACTCACGACCGGGGCCCAGCCGGACGTCGAGAACAAATGAAAACATTGAACTCGTCGCGTCCAGTTTGCGGGATAATCCGCGTCAGTCAGTTCGCAAGAGAGCGGCTGCCTTGGGGCTTCCAAAAACTATAGTGCACGAGATATTGAAGAAGGATCTTAAATTTCACCAATTTAAAATTCAAATTGTGCAAGCGCTTAAGCCTAATGATTACAATATGCGTAAAAACTTCTGTGAGACAATGTTGGAGCGATTTCGCACGGTGAACACTATTGTTTGGAGTGATGAATCCCATTTTCATTTAAATGGAAGTGTAAATAAGCAGAATTGTCGTTATTGGTCCCCTAAACGACAAAATCCCCGCTTAAAACATCAACAGCCACTTCACAGTCCCAAAGTGACGGTTTGGTGTGCATTATCAAGCAGGGGGATAATTGAGTCGTATTTTTTTGAAAATCATCAAGAGCAAGCAATATCTGTAGACGGTGTTGCTTATAGGCGAATGCTTAATGATTATTTTGTTCCAAAATTGAGAGAACATCCTTTCTTCACTTCGCAGACATGGTTTCAGCAAGATGGCGCCACGCCTCACACTGCTAGGGATACCATAGCGCTACTTCGTGATTTCTTCCCTAACAAACTGATAAGCCGTTTCGGTGACATCCTCTGGCCACCCAGATCCCCGGATCTTACACCAATGGATTTTTTTCTGTGGGGGTATCTCAAAAGTAAAGTCTATGAAACAAGCCCGGCGACTATCTCAGCATTAAAAGAAAATATCGTTCGCGAAGTTCATGGCATCTCGGCGGCACTTCTCCAGCGAGTGGCAAGAAATACTGAAGCCAGATTCCAAGAATGTGTCCGACGTCACGGTCAACATTTAGACGACATAATCTTTAAGATATAAAACCCGCATTTGTCTTCTTTATAATGATTAAAAATATAAATGTATATCTTTCGTAGTTTTTTTGTTATATACATTTTAAATCCTAATTCTGCCACCGGACACCCTGTATATCACCTTATCCTAAAGCATTTTAGATAATGTTCAACCATCAACATCAAATATTAAAAGGATCCTTGGAATCTTGGTTGAAATTCAAGTCAGAAAAAGTACGTTATACATTATACAAAATATGTATAATAAAAGAAAAATTTGGGAAATTATAAGAGTAAGAAAGATGTTGAAAAGCCACAAAACAAATATAATAAAAAAATATCAGAAGACGAGAATGTGAAAAGATTAGTAATTTAAATATCTCTAATTATTTTTTGAAATTATTACAAAGTCAATTAAAAGTTGTCCAAAACGATCAAAAGAACGACGTTATTCAATTGAACAAAAGATAATGGCATTAGCTATTTACAAAAAAATCACCGGCCTGTTATAGGCTATTGAGATAAATGTTAGTTTTAGTCTGCCAAACTTGAAAACTATTAAATAAAGTACCATTAAAACCAGGCCTAAACAAACATTAGAATCTTTGAAGAAGTTAGTAAAAAACAAACAATTCATGAAAACTTCTGTGTACCTATATCATTTGCTGAGATGAGTATAAGAAAGCACTTATTTTATGATAGCAAAAATGATATTATACCGTGCCATCAAGACCATGCCAACCATGGTAGAAATAATGCAACTGCCAATAAAGCTCTCGTTTCTAAAGTCGTATTTTTAATTATATGAAGAAATTTGTAATTCGGCTTCTAATCTCTGAAAAAGAATGTGTAACGAAAACAGCTGACATTTTGGAAATTAGTGTGGCCTCAGTTTACAGTGCATTAAAAGAATACAAAGAAAATGAACAATTCAAATCTCATAAGAAACGTGGACCGAGCACAGTTTCAAAGATAAATTAAGTAGACTATTTTACTTTTGCTGCTATAAGGCGAAAAGTAAAGTTTCTTTTATGCATTTTAGCCACCCACCATTGTAAAAATAACTTAAACTTTATATCTTCTACTGCATTATATTCTGTGTCCACCATATTGTTCTTTGTAAAACAAAAGTATTGTATCCTTAGCCAATTTTTTTTATATTATAATACTTTACAGATTCTTAATGTTGTCAATGAAGACCCATACTTACACAAATTTTCTTGGAATACATAAAAAAACATTTAAATTTCAAATATGTGGCTTGAAACAGCTTTCAGTAAAAGGCAAACGATTAATTATGGGCCATATAGGCGGATAAGAAGGATTCGTAGACGACAGCTTATTAATAATTTAAGCAAAAAAAAAAAAATAAAGAAGATCAACAGATGAATGTAGATTTCTTTGAGAAGTGGTTTAAGGGGATTTTGCCAAAACTAAATGCCGTAGTAGTGATGGATAAATAGTAAATTGGAATCGCTGATTACAATGTCTTGGACTAAACCTAGAATAGAAGAGAATGGCTAACGGATAAAAATATTTAATTTGAAGCAACAATGGTTATAGCTACTCTTATAGACATTGTACGGCAGCACAAACAAGAACATTGCATTAAGTATGTTGTAGACGAGATGGCAGCGCAGCATGGGACAATTGTTTTACGTCGCCCTCATACAACTGTGAGCCAAACCCATTTAGTTGGTATGGGCGCAGGCTAAAGGCTATGTTGCAAGAAATAACAAAACCTTCAGAATGACAGATTCAAAAAACTTTTTGAAGAAGAACTTCAACATATCACACCAGAAAAATGGAGTAGCTGCGTGTGTTACTCTAATGCAAAGGAGGACAAAATGTATGGTCTCCATCACATGATCGACAATGTTTCAGACAGATTTATAATTAATGTTATCGAAAGCGATAATGGTAATTTTTTGTCTAATGATGAATAAAAACAAATTATGTAATAAGCTGTTTTTTGTTTTCATTACCTACCTATATAATTGTTATAGTTTATAAATCTATAGTTTATTTGATGTATTGAAAATAAGACAGTCTTAGAAGTTTCCTCGTAACATTTTCCTTAATGTTTAAAACACTCGGTATTTAGTATAGGTAGATACTACAGGAACAGTCGTCGAATACTCGTTGGTATGTACACTATACTATTGAATAATTCATAAATAATACTTAAATAGTTATCTCAGAGTAGACAAATGTATTACTCACATTTATTTTCTCTTTCAAAATGGGAAAATATCATAGCAAGGACATTAAGAACTCTGAAGGCCAAGTACAGATCTTGAAAACGCAAACTCCATACACGAGGAAAACAGTAGAAACCTTATCATTTGTTGCATAATAATTGAGATTTTGGCAGTCATAATACTACACATAGTGATGAGCCGTTGTCGTGGTTATTTCAAGTCCTATATACAGAAGGAAATGATTGTGGGGCAGTCCCCACTGTTCGGGTTAGGAACACTGATTAGATTAGATCAGATTTGCTTTTGCAATAGCATATGCTAGTGGTCACTCTATTCTCCCAAATTTGAATTAAAAAATGAATCTGTATTATTGTAAACATGTACAACATTTATTTGAAAAGAATACGAGCTGAGTTTCTTGTCAGTTCTTCTCATCTCGAAATCATTCCGAACTGACGATAGATTTGACATATCGTAAGAGTCTGCAATAGACCTACATGAATAAAGATATTTTGAATTTGTATTTCTATTACAGCAGAAACACGGTAGTATAAAAAGTTTAGCAATTAGAAGACTGCAACAAGATCCTCTTGAAAATTTATTTGTCTGCATTCGAAGAAATTGCTGAACAAATCGTAATTCAACAAGTGGTCAATTTAAAGCAGATTTAAATACATTTTAAAATCTTACTTTTCCAGATGGGCGGAGGTAATTGTGAAATTGATCAAAATGAGAGCATAATTAACCATTTTAAATTATTTTTGAAGCGCTGTGTTATGTTACGACACGATTAGTCGATAAGTCTCAGTTTGATAAGTAATGTTTAATGTTATAAAACATCATTAGTTTAACCCTTATGTTAGTAACCAACTTTACCGACGTCTTTTAGCAACCGGGTACCCGGGTACCCATGATTCTGAATATTAAAAATTTTGTTTATTTTGTTAAAAAAAAACTTTTCCAAAATATTTTTTTATTGAAATATTAATAGTAAGTGACAGAGTAAAGAAAAAAAGAATAAAGAAAAAAAAATCAATAATAACGTAGAGTTGTGAATGACATCTGATATGTATTTGGGGCACTCCAGGTAGTCAGAGCCGAGCAGATGCCGTTGGAGAGAGAGTAAAACTCAAAGTTATTCCTTTATTTTCTATCGCGCACTAGATTCGAGTATTTTTTAGTACGAAACAGGTTTTTGGTGAGATGCAGAAAACGCATATCCTTTGCAAGGGATTATGTACACTGGTAAAACATAACATTCGGGAAAAGAATCAGGGTGAAAGAGTAGTGAAAGAATTGGCGGCTCCGTACCGAAATAGTGGTAGAAATATCTGCATGGATAATTTCTTTACTACTCTACCCGTTGCTAAACATTTGTTATCATGGAAAACTACTATTGTTGGCACGGTAAAAAAAAATAAACCTTACATACCTAGTGTTATGGAAGTAAATAAGACAAGGGAACAGTATTCCACAGTTTTTGGATTTTACGAAAAGGTTACCATGTGTTCTTACGTTCCTAAAAAAAATAAAGCTGTCATTCTGATGTCTACTATGCATTCCGATGCATCAGTTGGTGATGATGCTAAAAAAACCAGAAATAATAAATTTTTATAATAAATATAAAGCTGGCGTCGATACAATGGACCAAATGGTGCGGAGATACACCAGTCAACGACGATCTTCGAGATGGCCAATGGCAATGTTTTTCAACATGCTAGACATTTCTGCACTTGCGGCATATATTATTTATTATGAAAATAATAAAATGATTGCCAAAAAAACGACAGAACGTCGTCAATTTAGGCGTAAGCTAAGTGAAGAACTAGCATTGCCGATGATTGAACATCGTACCGCGAATCCGAAATACCGGTTGCTAATGGGGCGACGGCTGGAGTTTAAGCTTATTGTCTTTTAGTTTGTAATGCTATCTATTTTGTTGTTTGTTTGTAAACATAATATTGTGAGAATAGTAAATAGCAACCCCTGGTTATTTAAAGGCCGCCTCCCTTCGTTCGGCGCTCAGTCATAATTCCGAATTCATCGCAATCACATATTTGTACCATTTCTGTGTAGATAATAAAAATTCGTTTTTAATAAGCAAGTTTATTCATTCGCCACGTAACACCATCGAATACTACACATCTGACTCAGCCACTCAATGTTGCATTTTTTCGATCTCTTAAAATAGCTTGGCTAGATATTTTATTACAGTGGAAAAAAAAGAAGGATCTAAGGAAAATCACTTCCTAAATCTGTATTTCCCAGACTTTTAGTCTGGGAAATACACATTATGATTAACAGTTTGTACAATAAAATTCAAGTAAACTGTGTGAACTGTGTACGAAACACTGAACAGATTGCTGGTACCGTAGCTGATCCAATAACTTCTATACAATCGGCGTTTAATGATTATGATGAAAACATATTAGAATAATGTAGTGGTAAACATAAACGTTGTTGTAAACATAAGTGTAAATTAATTTTCAACCCCACAGACCACTCAATAATGTACACTTTTAATGCATTTAAAGAATATAATGACTTTAAGCAAGCTTTAAATTATGCAAATAAAAACTTTGTAGTATTTGTGAAAATATGTACAAGAGTAGTGATTATTTAAAAATAAAATTATTATTATGACACTAAAACCTCTTTCTGATGTTTATTAACCTTTCTTAAATAAATAAAAATAATATTTTTTATTAATTAATTAGGTCAGGGTTTCGCTTCTCAACGAAAAACATGATACTCTCATATAGGGGGTATGAGACTACCATGTTTTTCTTCATTCTTTCCCAGCCTATTTATGCATTTGTTCTGACAA